AAAATTTTAATAGTTTAAATAATTATTACAAAGCCTAATAAAGTGAAGGCAAGACTGCCGAATTTTTTTTTAAAAAAAAAAAAAAAAAAATTATTATCAGGATCTTCATTTTCTGAAACAGAACTCAAAAATGATTTGTGCTCATTATTGCTTTTTTGTTTGTTTTGCTTTGCATTTTCTAGTTCATTTTCTTTAGTCTTGGTGATCGACAACATAATTTGGAGGTAATTGGTCTTTTATTTTCAAATACTTGCTATATACTATATATATATATTATAAAAAATAAAAGAAAAAAATTTCTAAAATAGATTGAACATTATATTAAAAAAAAATATTTACTATAAAAACATCTATACATCTCACAACTGATCTATTATTATATTTAATGCTTAAACTCTTGAGATTTAAAAGAATATCATATATTAAAAGTATAAAAGTGCAGTGCATTATAGAAAGTTCTTTTCCTTTATATTGTTTAAAAATGATGTATTCAATTTTGAAAAGAATTTGCTAGTCTTTAAAAAGGTCTTCGTAGATAGCCTTGGTTTTTAAATTTATTTTCTACCTTGCAAGTTTTATAGAGGATGTATTATTATTGATATAATCCAATCGTTCTTTACCATAAACAGAAAACATAGCATGCCAAATAGCTACTACGATATCATTTTGTTTGCTATGGTATTTAGTATGAATTTAGAGAAAATTTTAAATTTAAAATATAATTTTATAATAGACTTTGTAAACATTTTAAAAAAATATACAAATACTTTAGCCAAAATTTTAGTTTTAAACATAGAAATCCAGGTATTTTTTCCAATACCATCAATAAAATAGTCTGCATATTCTGAAAAATACTTGTCCAATGATATATGATTAATTTGAGTCACATTTTACTATAAACATTCTCTGATTGACTGGTGGATCACCAATTAATAATAAAATATGTATAAATATGAATTTAATCACTACTAGACAATAATATTTAAATATATTTATTATATCTTAATATAACTATTCTGCAATAAAACTTTATTTTTTATAAAAATTCAAAAAATTTAAAAGCAAATTACATTCCAAAACTCATTGGTAAGCTCATCAAGCATGACAAGTCTTTGTAAATCTTCAGAAAATTGTCTTTGTTAATTTCCAAAATATCTACAAAGTTTGTATAAAGAGTTTAATTTTGAATCCAAAAGAGTTATACTGTAGTTGAAATTATTAGCTATGAGGGGGCCACCTTTATCAGATTCATAGAGTACCAAAGGAGCATGCAATTGACTTTTTTGCTTTTTTTTCATAATGTTATCACTATAGAGACTGCTATCTTCATCAGAAGAAATATTGCCTTTAAGTTCTGAGGATTTTTATTTTTGAATATCAATGAATGCTAAAAATTGCTCATTTTGCGAAAATTCCTCAGCTAAAAGAATAGACAACTTATTATTGTTTTGAATATATGCTGAGAATTTTTTCTCTCTATTTTTTTGCAGCTGATCAAGAAAACCTATACTGTTTTTAACAAAAGCTGAGGATAACTCATTAGAAGTAACCTCTTTAACCTTGTTAACTAATAGCATATCAATTCTATTATTTGGTATTAAGTCTTTGTAGACAGTTGGTGTAGTCTGAACTGAAAGGTTCTGAGAAGTTACAGCAGCTGCTGTGGTGTGAAATTTTTCTACTTAAAATTGAAGTTAATTTAATGTATGTATATACATATTTGCACATATACAGTACAATTTATGAGAGAAATAGTTATCAACCATGTGATATTATCATTGTAAACTTATTTTGAGCTATACTAGTTGCTGTGGTATGTGTTTGCTAAGTTCTACAAGAAGCTCTACTTTCAATTTCTATAGTGTTTTGCTTCTTTTGAAGCTGCTTGGCCTTAGTGATTTTGGCCGAAAGTGAAAAAAATCGGCTAAAGAAAATTATCGGCTTAGCTAGTTAATTTTTTTAAAATCAGCTAATCAATTTAGTATGGTCAAAATATGTCATTATGAAAATTTCTAATAAAAAAAATAAGTAAACCTAAAATACGAGTAAAGTTGAACCAAAAATTTTGCAACTTCCGAAAAATTCTGAATTAAAGAACAAAATTAAATAGTACTATAGGTTCGACTAAGCCAATTAAGCCAATAAAGTTTATCAGCTTAGTTATAGCCGAAAAATTATGTTTAGCCAGAAACACTACTTGCCTTACTTGTTTTGCTTTTGGACGGTATAGAAAGAAATACCAATTAGAAAAAGGTTATTAAAAAACCGAAAAAAACTTTGTTGGTTATCTAAAGAGAAAGTAAAAAACCTGTATTACAAAAGCTAATACTACTTATATATTGTTATGAAAAAAAAAAATGATAAAATTCTATTGCTATACATAATATAATTCTATCACTACATAATTCTATCGCTATACATAAAATGAAATTATAAAATATTATTCTATCAACATTAATCACTAAAGAAACAATTGTCAAATTTCAAAAATAAGATATAAATTTATATTTATGGAAGAAAAAAAAGTGTTATAACGACTATAAATTTTATTAAGTTTTATTTTATACATACCGTATATGACGGGCCAAACCACCCCCCTGTCAAATTATGCAGATATTTTACTGGTGCATATTAGTTCACAAAATAATTTTTGTCTGCTTTTTTTTTATTTTTTTCTTATATATTTTGTAATATATAACATTATTATGTACTGTTACACGTAAATAAATTATCATATACACTATTTAAATATCCGCTTGTTCGATAATTATTTTATAACAGGGGGGTGGTTTGGCCTATTGTATACGGTAATAATCTTATAGTAACACAAACACAATGCAATATTTTTTACAGGTTAATCCCCAAATTCTAAGTCAAAAGCTAGGCCGATATTAAGCAGTACTAGCCAAAATTATATTTTATCTAATAAAAAACTATACTTCATTGGAGTTATTAATTCTAAACTAATTTCAACCCGAAATTTTGGGAATTTTCTTGTATAAATTTATTAAAGCAATATTATATCATGTGGGCAACTTTATACAATTAATAGACTGGCTTTATTAGTAAATTAAGTAATCTTTGAACAAAATTTATCACCACCAGATACCTTCTTTTAGATCATATAATCATTGATTATCACTAGATTGTCCAAAATTCTGCAATTTTATTTATTATTTTTTGCATACAATTGTATTAATTTTTGCAGCCATTCTGGCCTACACTACCAATATTATTAAGCAGCTCTATGCAAAGAATGATTGACTCAAAGCATTGTTTTGGGCAAGTTTTCACTATATACAAATTCTGTACAAAGTTGATAATCAATATAAATATAACCAATAAAATACACTATCTTACTGTGGATTCTGCAATTTTAATAATTTTGCAAATTCTGAATATCCTAATTATCATATAAGCCTGAGAAAAGAGCAATAAAGATCTACAGATATGTTATATATATATAAATAATTTGCATAGACTAACAATGAAAAAATTGCATAATTCTAGATATTCTATTATCATGTAAGCCCAAGAAAAGTGTGATAAAGATCTCTATATATGCCTCATGCACATAAATAACATTGTTAAATCAATCAATAATAATCATCCATACCAATTAAATACGGTAATTAATTATAATCGATTAATTTAAATCGTTTGTAATTGATCGTTATATATATTGATTATAATTGATTTTGATATAAATCAAGGGAGTTACTATTTCCACCATGGTAAATTGCTATTTCCACCATGGTTACACAAGATATTCTATTTTTAGACAATAATATAAAAAACTCATAACCCTAACACTAACCCTAACTTCTAATCTTAACTCAAACTCTAAACTAATAAGTAAACATTTCTTCCAGTCTTAAGTAAAGTTGTAGAGAAGACTTTCTAGTTCTAATGGTGGTTAGATCATCAAAATCGGCTTGGTGGATCCCAAGATATTTGGGATTAAAGACACAAACATAAAGATCTACAAATTCACTATTATACAAAGTATTATAGTTTATAATACTATATTCGCGTCTTTAACCCCAAATATCTTGGGATCCACCAGGCCAATTTAATGATCTAACCACCATTAGAACCAGAAAACTCTTCTCTACAACTTTACTTAGAGCTCAAAGAAAGGTTTACTTATTAGCTTTAGGGTTAAAATTAAAATAATTAAAACTAAAGTTAGTTTTTTAAAAATTAAAGAAGTTTTTAATAAGTAAACCTTTCTTCGAGCTCTAAGTAAAGTTGTAGAAGAGATTTTTCATTAAAATTGGCCTGGTGGATCCCAAGATATTTGGGTTAAAGGCTCGAATATAAGTATTATAGACTATAATACTTTGTGTAACAGTAAATTTGTAGATCTTTATGTTCGTGCCTTTAACCCCAAATATCTTGGGATCTACCAAGCCAATTTTGATGATTTAACCACCATTAGAACCAGAAAAGTCTCCTCTACAATCTTACTTAAAGCTAGAAGAAATATTTACTTATTAGTTTTAGGATTTGGGTTAGGGTTAGAGAGGTTAGAGTGTTAGGGTTAAAGGTTAGAGTTAGTGTTAGAGTTATGAGTTTTTTATATTATAATCTAAAAATAGTAAATCTTGTGTAACCATGGTGGAAATAGTAAGTTATCATGGTGAAAATAGTAGCCCCAGAGGTAATATATCAATCCGGATTTATTTAATTTCCGGATTAATCCCAATTTTAAATAAATCCAGATTCAATTTTTAGAACAAGTAAATCTGGATATAATTTAAATCTGGATATAATTTTAAATCTGGATATAATTTAAATCCGGATATAATTTAAATCTGGATACATATATATATATATTCGAAATTCTAATCTGGATGTGATTATTTATAAAAAAAGTTGTCAGGTTCAGGTTTTAACTTGAATACGTATGTACGTATCTCCTCTTTTTTTTACCCAATTTGCTTGAGACATAAATAATGCTGTGCATGAAGATACGTGAACGCCATATGTAAAATAGTAAGTTCTAAAAATAATTGGCTTTTAAATTTAAAAATGTAATAAAAAGGCATGAACAGTTTCCTCTAGAGTGTTTAACCTTATAATGATAACGATAACGACACGATTATGATTAATAATTAATGCATATATGCACTCCCGGTCAACAGTAATATCGGATACTATCCTATCATATAAACTGATGGGTTTACAGTATACGTACATATATATAATGATAATAAAAAAAAAATATCTTCCCAAAACGAGTCACAAGAGTCCCTTATCACCATCATCCTCATCAAGAGAAGAAGATGCCCCTTCAACAGTACAAAGTTCTGCTCCCAGTGAATATACCAAAACTTCTAAAATTAGCTGAAAGAAAAGACGAACTTCTAACAGTATAGTGCCGTTAACCTCATCAAATACCTCTGCCCAAATAAAAGCTCCAAGGACAAACGCTAGTTATACTCGTTTTTTTTTTGAAGATAATAAAGCAGATAATACAATTAGGTATTGCAAAATTTGTATTAAAGAGCTAGAAGGGTCTCAACTTAGTCCTTACCCATATACCAAGTCCGGAAGTAGTACAGGAAATTTAATGCAGCACCTTCGTGACAAGCATAAGATTTCAGCAAAAAATTATAAATGTCATCTTGATTCTCAAAAACAAGTAAGTAGTTTAATACTGAATTATTTATTTAAATATTATATTCTATAAAGTCTTAGAATTCATTATGTTTATAGCCAAAAGTATCTGTTAATTGAATCACAAATTACATGAATACCCTTTCACCTAAACAACAATCTGAACTTACAAAATATGTGGTGAAATTTATTGTGTATAATGTTCAACCTCTACACATATTAAAATGTTTGCCATTTCGTCGAATGCTTTTAGCTTTTCAACCCCAGTATCGGATACCATATGCAAACAGTATTAAAGGATATATTTTAGATGCTTATGATACAGGAATAAATCAACTTCAGGAACTATTAGCCAAAACTGCTATTAGTGTTCATTTAACCACAGATTTGTGGATAGCAAAGAGCAAATATGGATATTTGGGTATCACTGCAACATGGCTTACACCTGACTTTAAGTTCCAAGAAGCGTTACTTACGTGCCATTATATGCTTTACCCACATACTGATAAAAGCATTAGCAAAGAGCTTCTTAATATAATTCATGATTGGAATCTAATGGTGTAAACATTGTAAAAAGAATAAGGTTATTGAACGTAGATCATTTATTAGAAGTTATCCGGCAACCTTGTGTTGCGCATACCCTTCAGTTGACCGTTAAAGAGAGGTTAAACCTATACATCAGCAACTTAAAAGTATTCAGGTATTTTTCTATTTTCCAAAACAAGCACAGCGATTACGAGAGTCACAAATGCTTATCAATTCGGCAAATTTACCCCAGGATAATGGTACGAATAATCCTCTTGAAGTGTTAATAGATTGCAAGACTAGGTGGAGTTCATCTTATTTAGCTTGGAAAAGAATCCTAGAACTGCATCCAGCAATGCATACACTGGCCACGTCATTACAGAATAAACCAAATACAGCATTAAGAAAAGAGGGTGATAAACTTGATCAATTATGTTTAACTTCTGATGAAAAAAAGTATAATTTTTTTTAATAATTTTATTATTGTATCAATAATAAAAAATTATTTGTATTATTAT